TTCAATCTTTAGTTTTTATCAGCAAGTGACTTCTTTTTGTTTTTGCTTAATCTGCTAAGCTTGTGATTAACGCCTAGTGCCGTGTGCGCCTGGTAAGTTCAAGTCTGTGCCGGGAAATTAGTTTCTGGCCAGTGACTCACCTGAGGTGGTCATCTTTGAAAAGAAAAAAAACAAAAAACAAAAAAAAATTGTAGTGCAAGCGTCGGTTTGTAAGTCGACCGATGAATATTTGGTTTACCTTATCTTGAGCTCTGTAGGTGGTGGTTTATTGTTTATTGAGGGATTTGTGATTTTTCATAATTTCAGGCATTAATGTGTTTGCTTGATTCTTGTTAGAAGATGCTTAATTTCTATCTGTGTTCTATTTTTGCACATTTACAGTGGTTTTTGGCTTTTTTTGATATTCCCTTGAAAGTAGCTATTGTGTTTAAGATGATGATTATTGGTATGATACTTTGATCATTTTTGCAAACACAAATTCAGAGAAAGTTCCATAAATGAAAAGGACCCATCAAACTTGTTTATTTGCTTCTTCTATTTATGTCATAGTGGTCATAAGGTAGATATGTTTTTGGATCTTGCTAGGACTATTATAAAGACTGTCCTACTATATCTTCTTATATGCCTCATACATATGTGAGCATATTAAAATTGTGACACATGTCCTTTTACTTTCTTAAATAAATATTTAAACAAAATTTCACTAATTGAACAGTACAAACTACCTTTAAAAACTATTGGAAAATTCTTGTATGATACCCCAATTTTATCTCATTTTCACTTATGCTGCTCAAAGTTTTCATTTAATCAATTTTTGTACCCAACATTTATTATTCTTTAAATCATTTGTGCTCCAGACCATCGATTTTCCGTTGAAAACTAACGGCGACTATAAAACTGTTGTTCGACGACTTGCTGCCACCAGAAAAATAACAGAAAATTCAAAAAATTTTGAATTGACCTGCTACCAGAAAAATAACAGAAAATTAAAAAAAAAATTAAATAATTATGCAGAAGATGACATTTCAAATTCAAGGGTAACATGAACTCAAAACATCAAATTAATTAAAAGGTATTATTTTTATGAAAATTAACAAAATGAGAGTCTACCCATCAAATTTAGACAATATTTTAGGTTGAGTTGTATTGGGAATAAAGATAAGTTGGATTGTGAGAGTATCTTTAATAATAAAACTCCTGAAACCTCAAATTTAGACAATATAAAGGTTGAGTTGTATTGGGAATAAAGATAAGTTGGATTGTGAGAGTATCTTTAATAATAAAACTCCTGAAACCTCATTTATTTTTTAATTCACCACATCACCCAAAACCTTAATTTTACTCCTACATCACAAACCACCAATAACAATAAACCTCACATATTTATTTTATATGAATCCCACATATTTCACACTCACTTTATTTTAAAATTAAAAATTTCATCTTTCTGTCTTTTCTTTATTTTTATAGCTATTTAATACCCACTTGGAGGTTTTCGTCGGGATTTAAATCACAACCCTCAAACTTCTTCTTTATAATGATAAACCCCCGAGATTTGTGTTTTTAAACCTCTTCAAAACCTATTACTAAATACACCTAAGATTGAGTTGTGCTGGCGAAAGAAATCACTTTTAATTATTAGGTAATTATTACTATTAGTTTGAGTTGGGTTATAAAGATGGTACGAGGAAATAAATGCCAAAATCATTTCACATCTCACATATATTGGAAAAAATAACCCCATTCTTTTTTTTAAATAAAAAAAAAAAAACATATAGTGCCAAAAGCTCATAGGCTGCTACCAGCATAATTTATCTTCAACTTGAATGTCAGGCTGTGCGAGCAGATCGCATAGGAAGCAGTCGTCACTATTAGCCTTCGTCCAATACAAAAAAATAAAAGCACACTGGGAATTTTCAATCACATTTGAGAATTTAATCTTCTCTACGCCTCTTGGCATTGCCAAACGATTCCCACTTCTTGTGATCAAGGGAGCTAAGATCCTGGAGCTCCGCTATTGTGAGCAGATACTGAGTCAGCTTCACAAGTTCTTCATCAGTTTCTCGGTTTAAATGGGCTTTTCTGAAGGGTTTTATGGTCAAGCCATTCTGAGGGTTCATAACGAAATTCCTCCGCAAATCATCAAACATTATGGTGTTCTTCGCACTGTAGTACTGTACATGCATATAACAGATCAACATTTGCAACATCTCACTAATAAACATAGATTTTTACTTCACTTGGTCTCTCTCTACAGTACTCAATCATTCTCAACAAGATAAATGACCAACTTACTTCATGCAACTTCAAAGTACGTATAGTAAGAACTAGGAATTCAGTTTTTCCATTTCATATATCAATTGAAACTTTTGAAAATTATATTTCAAATTCTAGAATATGTAAGTTTCAACTTTCACATGGGCCTCATAATAACCAATGATGCATTCTAGACTTTTTTATTATTATTATTGTAGTTTTAACTTATGTTCATATGATATTACGGAAACAATAAATAGTAAAATAAGTGTGAAATTCAAACCTCTGGGAAATGAGCCCAAATCATGCCAAGCGGTTTACAATTGATGACTCCATGAGTATCTGAATGGACACTGATCATGGCTGAATGGTCCAGAAGAGCAGTTATTTTGTAGTTAGGATTAGTCAACACTCCAAGCTCTTTCATCTTCGTTTCAACCCACCTCATGCTGCAAAACATAGAAGCACGTATCATTTTAGCAAAACAGTACATTCATTGAATCTACAAGACAGTGCTTTATTTAGAGCAAGTGTAATCATACACCAAGATTTTAGCAAAAATTGTCGGTCATAGTCGTTTTCATTTATCCATGGTATCAGCCAATTCCCAAAAACAAAGGATCAATTTCTCCGCTATAATAAAGATATACACATGTTATATGGTCAAACTTTTGATGACTCTCCTTGCCAGGTAATTTGCTATAAACACCAGGCAAGACCTAATATTCTGCAGAACTCAACTACTTGATGATCTTAGGTGAATCTACTGTGTTACTCTAGCTTATTAACTTTGCATATCATGTTATTGAGTCACGATTCAAAAGGATGGCCTTACAACATACTTTTCAAAGGAAAATCGAAGGTAACTCTGATTACAACAGAAATGTCAAGATTATAATCTGATCATTAAACGAAAAAGATAATTTGGTCAAACCATCGTCAGAAATTAATATCAAACATAAATTATGAAAAATAGAAAATAGCAGTTTTTTTTTCTTTTCTTTTCTTTTTATTCGAAACGATAGATGTAGTATATAAATGCGCACAAAAGTGCAAAAGTACAGCCACAAGCTGAAAATAGCAGTTTTAATACCAAAATTTACGATGCAGTATTCCGCACGGAATTATGCACATAACTTTATAATGGAATCATATATACTTTTCGTACAAGTGACACAGAGAAAAAAAAAAATGCACTTCATTACACATGGCTACATTGATGAAAAGTAGAAAAAACATCTTAACCTGGTTGCAGACCATATCATGATATCATACTCAGCATAGACGGCTGAAAGGAACTCATGAAGATCTGTGTAAATGATAAAAGAATAATTAGACATCAAGATAGACAATAAAAGAGCTTCATTGAAATTCAACACGTACAAGGACGCATTAGTTCCCGAGGATGTTCAGCTGGAGAGCGGTGGTCAAAGAGGGTATAATCAATATCCAAAACAAGCAGCTTTTTCCCTTTACGACAGGGATTTCGGATTTTAATCTTGCACACATGCCAACAAAAATGGGATCAGTTTGGGATAAAAATATAAACAAACCCACTTAATTGCAAGGAGCAAAACCAACAATATATAACTGTCGTTACCTCTACAAACATTCAAGATATCAAGAGAGCAAATTACACTCAATTGGACTCCCTGAGAACTAGCAAGATAGAAAACAGCTAACCTTGTACAGTTCAATACGTCTTCTCAATTTCTGTTGGTAGATTTCATTATCCTTAATGTCAATGAATTCAGCTTGCTCGAGCTCCAGATCATCAATGATTTCTGGGGATTCCACTGGGTCCACAATTATATCATCTTCAACTGTACTGCAAACCCAGTGAAAATGTCAATTAAATGCTTCAAGCTGATACTAGTATATTAGCTATTCTAAGATGTTTGTGAACAAATTACACAATTACGTTGCAATGAACAAACTGGAAACAAACATAATCTACAACATATAAACACATGTATTTCATGATTTATAGATTTAAAGGAGAAGCAGATATACTGAAATATAATGTGATACAACTCTAAACAGATCTACAGATAACCACAAGTCAACAGCAAATTGTGTAGATGCGATTCACATATAAAAAGTAACATCTAAATCAAACATTTAAGAGAACAGCTGCTAGTTCTAGGTGACTACAAAGATCATAATATTGCTACAAGTATCATGCCTAACCCATCAAGGCCTGTGACCAGTTTCATCACACACAAGTCATTGAAATGTTATGATATGCACTTTACGCAAAATGATTGGTACCTTGATATTCATTTTTTTTTTTCAATATCACTCTAATGTTATGCGGTTGAAGAAATGATCCATATATACATAAATAACGAAACATATCCAAATATAAAATTCTTAGGTGGTTCCCCGAGTGAATAGCTTAACTCTACCCTATATATTTGTTCCCGTGTATTACCCAGGATCATAGGCATTTTACACCACAAAACTTAAGAATGACACTTTATCAGTTGTAACCATCCTTGATACTCCAAAGGAAATTTTTACAGAAAATTGACTATGGCCACAAGGTGAAGCCTCCTTTCTTTCCCTCTCTTTTGTAACAAAAAACCAGTTTCCCATAAATTGACCCATCAGTATAGAAAATTCTTTATCCTCAGAGTCTCCAGTTCTACATCTCGAACCAATCTTCTATCAACCCTTCAAGAAAAACTTCACTTTTACCCTGCAACCAATCTGCCTCAATTTCAAACCACTGCTTCAGCATCAAGCACGCTCTCAGTGAATGAGATTTTCTCAACCGACTAATCTAATTCCCATTAGAAAGAAGAGCAGTTTTTCAAATTATATTTTCAGTTCAATCAGTGATCTGAGAGAATTCAAGTCATATAATGAAAGCTGTGGCCTAGCATATTCCAACACAATTCTCAGTTCATCCCGTCATTATTTTGGTAGTATTTCTTCTTTGAAAATTTGACAATAGAGTTTAGAACAACAACCTTTTTAATAAAATTATATATAAATATGTACCTGATCAGAACATGTGATTGAAAAAGTGCAGATTGTGAAAAGTCTTACACAAAGTGCAATTCAGCGAACTTAAGCCAATATACCTATGTTTGAGATCATGTAATTTCAATAACCAGACAGAACAATAATTAAAAAAATAACCATCAATTCTTTGAATTTCTACTAACAATGAATCAAACAATGTTCCCTCATAAACAACAATCAATTCACAAATCAAAATACCCAATCAAATGTTCTGCAAAAATATGTAAACTTTATGAAATATGCAACAATGTTCTGCTAAAAAATGTAAACTTTATGAAATATATAACTATTAATTCTCTGAACTTCTACTCAACCACGAATTAAATATTACTCCCATATAGACACAAAACAATTCGCAAACAAAATACCCAATCATGGTCATCTTGAGAGAGGTTCTAAGTGGAATCTGAGAGAGAAAAAGAGAATCGTCGGCGAGCTTGGAGGCCAATTTAGGGTAGAGAAGCTTCTGGCGTTTTGGGAGCACATTTGTGACCTCGCAAATTCGAAGCTTGAGTTCCCCGACAGTGTCCTGGCCACAGACCCTGACGGTGTACTCTTTCCCGTTCCACTTCACCGTCAGCGTCAGCTCCTCATCCGTCAACGGGGAAACCACCAAAGCCGCGGCGGACGACGACGACGTTCCACTTTCCATCTGGAGATGAGAGCTGAAATTAGACTGCCAAATGAATTTACCTGCTGTTGGTATTCGTTTTCTTTTATTTAATTTATTATATAATTACTAATATTAACTAATAATGGAAACACATTAAATGTTATTCTATTATAAAGCTTTTTTCAAACTATATATTTAAAATTACTATTCCTTTTTTTTTTCATCTCATTAATCAAGTTTTTTTAAATTAAAATTAGTTAATTATTTTTTACGACATAACCAAACCCTTTAAAGTTTTGTGCACAATTATTATAATAATAATTTCAATATTTTTTAATTCAATTAATTGTCATAATCAACCAAGTTTGCATAAATTTAAAGATTAATATATAAGGTAAATAATTTATAATTATATCGTCATTTTAGTCATGATAAAATTTATAAATGTGATATGCTCATTATTTAATTTATGATTTTTAAATTTTACATAAAACACAGATATATATAACGTATAAAATTTTATTTGCATTTGTGCATATGCACATCGAATACTAGTACTTCTCAAATTTTATTTTCTAAAATTTTATTCTACGTTTCAAAACAAAATTTATTAAACTTTGCATAAATCTAAACTTAATTGAATTAATTTCAGTTTACTTTACGACATATATGTAAATATAAATTGAAAGATAACAATATATTCGTTCATAGAATTGTATTTAACTTGTAGGGGATGTATTTAATTGGAATTTCTAAACACTTTATAAATTTTGGTATATTCAATTTAGTCTTTCTAAGATTTTCCAAGACTTTTAAAAGTCTATTGTATTCATTTGAGATTTTAAACCGATTTACAAAATCGTGAGATATTTAATTTATTTGAGATTAGAATTTGCTTAAACTATGTAAGATTTTTGTGTGATTTCTCAATTAAAAATCTTATACCAAATCTCACTTCAAATCCCACCTCAAAACTTAAAATTTCACAGCATTCTTACAAAATCTGAAAATTTTAAAAAGTCTCAAATTTTAAAAATTCTCAAAAATGTCAGCAGAAAACTCAGTTGAATACACCCCTTCTATCTTGCGTACATGCACTAATATAAATTATAAAGTAATATAAATTATATATATATATATATATTAAAATTATACAATAAATACTGGATCTATCACATTTTATAAATGTGATCATTACTCAATGAACAGACTCCATAGAGATAATATTCATTTTAGAATAAATATCTTATAAGCAAAAGTGCAATATAATTTTTTTTAAAGATTATGTAACTTCCATATACCATTTAGTGTAAATAATAACTATTTGCTTTAGTAATCTCTCTATCTATCTATATCTATTAATATATAATAGCAATAGGAATTTACCTGAAATATAATGTAAATTCCAGCTTAAATTTTAAAAGTTACTATAGTTGGTAATTTTTTTTCCAAAAATTTTCATTTATCCCGCCTTGATCATTTTTGAATTTTAAAAAAAGTCAAAGTGTATAATCTAATTATGGGTCACACTCCAGTGAGAATGATTCTCAGTGACAAAAATAAGAATAAATCTGGACCACAAAATCTGATCATCCAATTGTCATAATAAACTCAATTTTTTACACTCATTAAGGGTATAATAAACAATTTATCATTGACATGTGTCAAGTGGGTCCCATATCTCATTCACATTGTCTTCCACGCACAAACACTACTCACACACACAGTAACACGCACCCCACGCACTACACACACTTTCGGCTCGCACACACACATACACCCGCCGGTTCCTCGCCACCAGCCACTGCCGGCGCCGCCGCTTTCAGCCTACCATCGCCTTCCTCAACATTGACACGCCCAAACACAGTTCACACACACACACTTCACGACACACACAAAAGAACAAATGCACAGCAGGTTCTCGCCATCCGCCGTCGGAACTGCCGCTGCACCGCCGTCGGACCACCGTCGCTGCACCTCCGTACGCCGCCTCCAACACTCCGATTACTGCTCCAATCAACGCCGCCCTCCACCCTCCGCCCTCTACATCCGGTCGGACCTGCGTCAAAAACAGAAATTTCGGCTGCAATACAAATCACCGTCGAGCACACCCGACATCGAGCGTTTGGAGGCCAAAATTCGGCCGCCCACGAAGAAACTCACCTACGCCTATGAGCTCGGATAATTCTTGCAAGCACAACAAGTTACCGGCCAAATTCGATGAATACAAAATCAAAAATAAATTTGATGAACACAAAATCGAAAGTAAACTTGCGAGGATGTAGCGACCGGTGGGGTCTTCAAGTTGTTGAGAAGAGTCCGACGCTCGTCGGTGGCTAACGAAGATTTTGGGAAGGAAACGGAGCATCAATCAAGCAGAGCTGTGGGATTTTCATTTAGTATTTGATAATTCTCAAGGACTTAATTGCAATATCATTAATTTTATCTAAATTACAATTTAGTTCTTAGGCTATTTTTTTAATGATTTTTCCCAAACCAAACTAAAACCGAAATAATCGGTTTATTTGATCAGTTACCTAAGTTAACCTTAATAATCTAAATAGTTTATAATTTTATATTACAAAAATATATCTAGTATTTCAATATTTTAATATAACAAAGACCTAAAATGTATGTGTGTGTGTGTATATATATATATATATAACAAAGTAATATTTTTTATATAGTTCGATCGGTTTGGTTATATTAAACAATAAAGTCGACGTCGCACCGAGATAATCAAAATTTTAAAAGTAAACACAAATTATCGAACCAAAATATAAAATTCAAACCCAAAACTTTGTGTGTCCGTTTTGACTGCTATAGTACAATTTGATAGTCACTAATGTGCAATTCGTATAATATTAATGTGCACTCGAAGCGCAACTATTTGTATAAAAATATATTTAGTATTTTAATATTCTTATTTAATATTTTATATTATTTTGGGTTGAAAAAATATGATATATACATATGTATAAAAGTATAAAATATATATAAAATATAATTTTTTTTTTTATATTTTATATAAATTACACATTTTGCCCATGGGCTAAATTGAACTATATCAAAACTCTTGAACTTTTAGTTAAATTTTAGATCAATTGCACATTAGTGACAACCGAATTGCACTACAGTGACCAAAAAATCGACCGAGCAAAATTCGTGTATTCGATCTTATATTTTGGTTCGATTATTTGTTGTTACTTTTAAAATTTTAGTGTATTAACTAAAATATTTAAATATTAAATATATTTTTATATTATAAATCGATTACCTCGTTTTGTTTTGGTTTGGTTCGGGACGAATCATTAATTAATCTCTGCACTTGAAGTGCACATCAGTATTAAATATATTGCACGTTAGTGACTGTTTATTGCACTATTTATTTATATATAAAAAATATTAAAATAATAAATATACTTTTGTAATAATAAATTATTTCAATTATTTGGCTTCATTTGACTACAATTATATCTACTAAATTTAGTTTTAAAAAACAAATATTTTATTTGTGACCATATAAAGTAGTGCACTTTATATATCAACATCATGCACTTTATCAAACAACACGTCGCACTTTATAAAACAACACGTTACACTTTCTTACCACTCTACACAATTTATGTCAAAAGCTTCCGCCAATATATTAGGCAATATAAATCTACCATCTATGCAAAAAAAAAAAAAAAAAAAAAAAATACAAGCATGCTAACGTACCAAAATTTCCGTATTGCACTATATATATCAATAAGTTGCATTTTATACAACAATACGTCGTACCTTAAAAACCAACACGTTGCACGTACTGAAATTACAGTAATTATGCTAATCAATAAATTATGTTAATCGATCGAATAATATTAGTTGGTTAAATGTCGGATTTAGTTTTTTTTTAATAAAATAAATAAATGAACATGCCTAAATATATGAAAAATATTATCTATATTTTTTAAGATGCCGGGGTATGATTTTGAAGATGTTGATGTTTTGATTTCTATCGAGAGAGCTACTTTTGGGGACCCGTTACTGGTTTTTCCAATTGGAATGTTGTTGACCCGATCCGTTGCCATTGGTGTGGCATTTTTTATTCCAAGGATGGTGATCATGATTCGAAGCTAAATACTTCAGGGATATCATTCAAGGGTATTATCAGACCAGAGTTGAAGATGTTGTCCGTTTTACAAGAATTAATTTTGCACGGGAATTTGCTGATGGGCTCCATGCCTAGTGAGATTAGCCTATTGAAAAAACTCAAGGTGCTTGGCCGTTTTGGCCACAGGATATGTGGAGTTGCCGGTAGACATGTCATATGTGGTGGGTTGAAGATGAGATCGGTTCGAATTCGTGGGCGAATCCTTCTTAATCGGGAGAGGTTGATTGAGACGAGGTCGCGCTCTCATATATGGAGAAATATGATCGGCTCCGACTTTAGGATATTTATTTATTTCCATGATTAGTTATTATTTCCCTTAGTTTATATTATTTAGTTGGTAAAAGAATAATTATTATTAGTATTATTATTCTTATTATTATTATTTCCTTAGTTGATATTGTTAGTTTGGTAGGTAGATAAATATCTGACTAGCTTGTTAGACAAGATAAGTAGCCGGTGAGGACTCTATGTATTTATTTGTTGTCTATCATAGCCAATCGGTTGAGTATGAAGAATTAATCTAATTTTTGTGAGTTTTATCGAGAGAGTATCTCGTTTATCATTTCCACTCGTACGCTTTCCTACATTACTCATTCACAGCACTGCTAAAAATGCAAAAGTGAAGATTGAGAAACAAACAAGTCGCCTTTCAAACAACAATATAAATGATAATGATAAATCAACTGATGTCAAACTATCGTATAAATTATTAAACTAGAAAGAAAACTCAAATTTTTTAAATATACATTATTATAAATAATAAAATAGTTAAAATAACTCTGATGTAATAAAAACTACTAAATTTTGTAACATTAAAATAATATACACTGCATTCTTTAAAAATAAGATTCGATTTATAATGTTTGCCACAATTTTTCAACTTTACCACTACTTATTTAGGAATCGAAATAATATATTGTAATAAGATATGAAAAAGGGGAAGAGAGAGAAGTATTTTTGTGACAATATTTTAATATGTTAAATTTTCTAAACAAGAATTCTAGAATGACATGAAAATTACTTTATAACGAGTTAAATAAATATATAAATTGTGTATTAAAAATATTATGTATCATAAAAATATAAAAAAATAAAAAATAATATAAATATTAAAAACTATTTTTATACTGATCAATATGTTACAATACGAGTTTCGATTACAACAGGAAACCTATGAACCGAATATTTTGTTTTTCAATTCGTACAGCTTGAACTAAAAATATAGAAAATAATAAAATACTAACTGTAGAAGCACTTACAAAACATAACCCAGGTTGCACTTTGTTCTTACATTTGCAAGAAGAATATCACAGCAAGAAACAAATGAGAAATGAGGAGCCGAAGATTAGGGCTTGGGGAAATTGAGAGAGATAATAAAAATGTGTAACTGAAGATTAGTATATAATTTACAAGGAACAGAATCAGGAAATTTACAATCACTATTGACTATCAGCGAAAGTTAATCAAGCAACACATAGCCAGCCAAGAGAGAACTGGAAAAAATAAGTAAAGCTGGAAAGGTCGATACCTTTGGACAGAAAAGCTGCATTTCAGAGCATCTCTTTGACAGTTTATTAACCATGATCATCACAAGTACTGAGGATGACGCTAGGAGACACCTGATGCAAGAAATTGAGGAGCTTAGTAGCTTATTGATTGTAAGGAGATTAAAGGGCTTACAACATACTCTACTGCTGGGTCTCTTTCAGAAACTACAGTACGAATGGGATAACAAAATTTTAGTCAATGTTGAAAACAGCATAAGGAAAGCTGTAGTTATTATATGTAAAGTTAGTTTATGTTTCGTTTATTTCGTTCGATTTAGATTATTATAAGTGGTTTGTATGTCAAATATTCAATTTCAGTATTTGTTGTATGTATATGGTAACAGGTCATATCATTAGTTTCTCCGTGCTTTAGAGTAGCCGCGCGAGTTGTAACAAATTTTTAATGACATTTCTTAATTTGATTCCACAAAGTCTAATTCCTATGTACTTAGCAACTCTACTGAATATGATACATTGACTACCAAAAAAAAAATCCTATTTAACATATAACAAGCTTGATGCAGTTCACACTTGCACAAATTAAGGATAAAGGAGTAATATGTTTTTTACTTCTTTGTTCACCCTATACATTACTTAAGCTTTACACATTTGTCAAATAATTGTATTAGTAAGCTAATAATGATTATTCTTATAAACAGAGAAGACACATTTACCGGACATTTACGTCATAGGTACAACAAGTGATTGAGAAAAATCATAAAGGACAATCTTACTTAAATTTGCGATGGGATCGAGTACTTACTAGCATATTCGCTGCAAATACATTCTGCATGCAAAGGTGACTTATCATGAGAGGCTGCAAAAAAAGCGGAGGCAACTGAAAACTAAAACGCCAATAAAGTAATTCTATTAAAGTAAAAATGCGTAATTTAAGAAAATTAGAAATAGAGAAGGTACAGCTTCGCTTCCAAGATACAAATGAGAGTCAGTCATGCCTTGAGTCTCAGTAAATGAATGATGAGGAATAGCCTTTTTTCACCAGCAAATAAGCATCAAAATTAATTACCATAATGAACCCAATAAAACGACGAAGCATTTGAAAAAATATGGGTTGTGAGCCAAAAGTCAGCAAGTTAAAGAACACAAAGCAACATGTCTATCAATGTTGTCAGTAAAATATTTCAAAAACCAATTAAACGTTCACGACGCAATTCAAAGACAAAAGGAGTTTTTGGTTTTTGCTTTGATTATTGAACATCATAAAATGATAGAAGATATGCTGACCCACCAGACCTAAAAAAGAAAGATAGAAACCTTGAATTTGAAATACCAAGTACAGGCATGCATGACAGTTAATTTGGTCTAATCCATTTGACTAAGTAAGAAAGTAATATAAACAAAACTAGAAATAACATAAATGTAATCCTATGCCAAAGATTTATGAACATTATTCCAAAACACTTTATAAAATTATCATTAAAAAATTACACTCACTAATTGTAATGTTCTGATAAAGTAAATACTTTTTTTCCACTTTAGTCTAAAACTCAAATTATTAAGAATCAGATTGTTAAAATAACAACTCAAACAATCACATTTCAACAGTCAAAAAATCAAAACTTTTCAAACAATCTCATTTATTGTCAAATCTCAGTAATCCTAAAATCTTATCACCACCCTAAAATTACATTTTGCCAAATTCACACTTTCACCCACCCATACATACCCACCGGTCAGTCACCATTCTCACCACCACAAAACCTTGAATACTTAAAATCTTCCTCTTTTCCCATTTTCTTAGTTCTATCCGATGGCAAACACCAGTGCCAACGGTTCACGGCTTGAACTTGTGGCCATCATGCACCGGGAGTGCGTGCACAACCACGCGGCAGCCCTCGGAGAATACATTCTCGACGGGTGTGCCCTTTTCCAGCCTGGCGGCCCGAACGGGAGCCCAAGCTTCAAAAAGTGTGCCACCTGTGGCTGCCACCTCAACTTCCACAAGAGGGTGGAGGTCAACTTACCCCACCCAAACAGGGTGGAAATCACAGATCTGCACCTTCGGGCCCGGGCCCCACAGCAAAACCCGGCCCGCCGGGCCCCAGAGCCCGAAATCCTCGATCTGCCCTCTCATGAACCTCAGATCCGGGAGGAGGGGCCCGCGGGCCACAGGAGATTTCTGACAAGCGAGCAGAAAGCGAGGCTGAGGGAGATTATAGAAAGCAAGAATTGGAAGATGTTCCGGGATTATTCACCGGAGGAAATCGATGAGGTGTGCGCAGAGGTCGGTATACCAAGGCAGTGCCTCAAGAATTGGGTCTCGTTCGCTAGGCGTAAACGACGCCAGGCTGGCGAACGCTAGTCGGGTCGAGAGTTTGGGCCCAAGAAGTTTAATAAAGAGTCGGTGGTCTTGGTAGGGTCCTGTTTTGGCAGATGGGATTCTTTCTATGTTCTTCTCTAGGTGGCTGCTGGTTTCAAGTTGTCTATGTTATATATATAAAATGCTTGTTCTCTTGTATTCAAATATTTGGTGGATAGTGTTTGAAGTAAATTATTACCTCATTTAATAGCTTAAACTTTTTGACAAATTACAATTTGGAAGAGAAAAGATATGGAAACAGATTCAACGACACAAAGACAGATTTCTAATTTGCATGGCTTGACGGGTGTGATGTAAAGAAAAATGGAGATCACTAATATTAGTTTGGAGTGAGGTTCAAATTAAACTACATAGACACAACACAGAGTTACCGAGATCGACACAGGTAATAAAAACGAAGACAGAATATGTCTGTGTTCAAAAGGAATCGGACTCTCATGTTAGGATGTCCCTCTCATTCTAATTTCTGTATTTTTTCTTTAGATATAAAATTAGTTCAAGGAGATCTCGCTCCAAAAAGTAACAGCTATGGTACAAGTTTGTTCTGTCTCCACTAAACTTACAAGACCTAGGAAATAATTAAGCATAAAGTCATGCAAGTAGGAAATGATCAATACAGAATATGAAAGACACTGTAGGTATAGAATATTTGTCATTGATAGCAACGGTGCCATAATAAAGAAATAAGTTTAAACTGATTCAAGTATTGTGTAAATGTGACTACATGTAATGATCTTTGCTGAGGTTCATGCAGAGGAAAAATAAAAAATGGACTCTAAATTGGCTACGAGCATACCAGCTTCATAGCTCAACTAGTAGCAAATGCATATTTCTTTAGTTTTAATACGTAGATTATGCTTAGAGCGTCTTGTTTCTTCTATTTGCATAAGATTAGAGAGAAGGAGAGATGACTGACAAATAATGGCAGTGGCTAACAAATCCAGTAAATAATTGTTACTAGTAAAGACATGTTTTCTGGAAATAGGGTTACTTACGAAATAAACAATCATTTGGATGCTTTAGAATTTCATCATCGATGAAATGACAGCTGCAAAATATTTTGGCGCTAACATGACCCGAAAAGCTGAATACTGAACAATAAGCCATATAAGTTAGACAATATAAGTCCAACCACACGCCAATATTATACCACAGTTGTATTGCAGTTCCTTCACATGGCTCATTAATGTGTTAAATTCCTCACCAGTCAGCATAGTTCATCCTATAAGGTCAGCTGCCCAGAAAACCCAAAAGGTATACTCAATCTGCATCAGTTCTGATCGGCACATGGAATGGGACTATTCTTATCTATAGTTTTACTTAAAAGAGAATGGAAATTGCAAAGCCAATTTCAAGATCTATATTAGGGGGTCGAAGTGAGAGAATCAGAAGCAACGTGTAACTCAGAGGTCGAGGGTATTTGGTTCCATGTCCACATGTAAATTCTTCTGATGGTAAAATACCAAAATTGTATTGGCATACAATAGCTTTACGACAAAAACTAAACAGATTTGCGCATAAACATAAGGAAGCATAAGTAGATAAAGAACATAAGGAAGAATAAGTAGAGAAAGAAAACGGGAATGTAGGTGAACAATAATGACTATTATTGTCTGCATAAACATAGTAAGGTTTGTAAACGCAGAGCAGAAAAGAAGACTCTTCCATCAAACAACTTAAATTTATTGATGAGGCAATTACCAAACATAATAAAGACTTTATATCTTACCGCCGTAAGTTCTGAGGACACATCCACTTGTCAAACAACTAAAATGTCATAATCTCTCACACCTGCAAAAAGTTCATAGCGTACAGCTGGAACCAAGATACCAAAAGAATAAACTAAAGGTCCATTTGTCGTTTTCCACATACGTTGCCATGCAAATTGTCACTTCCCGGTTTTCATATATGTTTTCGACAACTACAGAAAAAGAGACTTTTTATGGAGATAGTCATAACTCATATTTTTCGAAGTGGTGATTACCAAACAAGATAAAGACATCAAGACTCACACCAAACATTTACAAAGAACTACACGAGTCAAGCATGCATGACAATTAATACCATTACTCATAAATGTAGATCTATTCGTAATGCATTAACTAATTTTGTCGGTAAACAATAAACATTCCGGAACTATAAATTTAAGAACAAATTAAATATACACTACAATAAATTTATAATAAATATAACCTAGTAATTTTATTTTTTCAATTTAGCTATAGTCGAGCAATTATGTCGTTTGAACATTTACAAGTGAGCTTGCTCACGGTCTTCTAATAAACAAACATAAGGTTGTTCAAATTATGGCAGCTGATTTTGGCCTGCCGCCTTTTTGTGCCATCCACCATTGATAACACTGTTAATAGGCTCTAGGCTCCAAAGTTCATTCAATTACTGCTGGTTTAACAAATGGACTCACACGACCAAAGACTCACCACATTCCATCTAAAGATTTCTAACGAAGGTCCAATTCATTTACACACCCCTAATCTTAGGTACTCTCAACTCCTGAAGAGAGAGTCTTTAGCATCGATTCTCATAGCAAGTCACAAAAAGATTGCAGTATCCATAAGGAGACTTAAACATTGATACAGCACTAATCATAGAGTAACAAAAATCTCCTGTAAGAGAAGAGTACAGACAGGAAACAAAATCATTAACAACAACAATTAGCTGGAATTTCGAAGGGCACTGGACAATGTAGCAAAACGAAGTTCCAATGGGTCTAACATAAACATATGTCCAACCTAAAGCGAGCATATCAACTGTATTTGACAAAAAAATTCAAATTCTCCGAGAAAAATCAAATTTAAATTCTCCTAGAACTCAGGAAACCGAAGAATTTGCACACTCAATCGAATGATGAATCATTGAGAACATACCTTCATTTTCGGGAACGAAAAATACACCAGAAGTTAAACTCGCTCGTCACTTCTTAAAACTTTGGAAAATGAAAAAGAAAAGGCAGGTCGGCAATCGTTCATCAATCAGATTGAAATTGACCTAGATTTGTAAAAGGGCAAAATAACTGTCTCAAATATCCTGGAATATACTATTCTTTTTAATAGAAATATAAATTTATCAAACATTGATGTATATTATGAAAAAAAATAGTGAAGCATATACATTGAAAGATTTTGATTTAAAATTCAAATGTGGAAAGCTAAAAAATAGTGTATTATATGAACTAAATATATTTTGTGATGAATACTAAATAAAAATAAAAATGTGTAGTTTTTATACAAGTTGGTTTAATGATTAATTAGTATTATTTTAATTAGTTATCGATATATGTGATTAGTTTATTATTTTTTTAAATTAATGTCTAGTGATTTTATAATTTTGTTAAATACACTATATCTCTATACATGTTTAAGAAATAACTGTGCATATTGTTATTTGGACCTTAAATATATAGGTACTATAAATTCACATCTTGGTACTGGATCAACTAGTAGTAAACGGCATTACGACTATTGGATTAGATATTTCGTCAAACGTTTCAAAAGATATGCCTTTCAGTTATATCACAAATGGTATTTCATTTATATATCCTTATATATTGTAAAGACTTACTCGGTCTACGGGATGGACGAATGGGTAGCTTAACATTATGTTGTATGACCGACCACCGTCAATCCATCTACTTTCAAATATACATTGCTCATAAAATCTGTTTATAAAATTCATATTTGGAAGATTACAAATAAATATTTTATTAAATTTAATTATATTTTATTTCTATTTTGTCAGTTATTACTTTTATCAGCCTATCAAAATCACATCTATTAAATAAAAATTAAGGTCTTACTTATAAAGAAATAATTCATGGCTTATAAAGAAACTTTTGCCTTTATTAATAGTTAGTTTTTCGAAAATTTAAGTGTTTTTAAAAAAAAAAACATTTAAAATTGAGAAATATTACATTGCCAACCTAATGTAAAATTAAGTTGACAACACAAGTGGAAACATCTATTTGTGTATATTTTTTTATTTTTATTTTTATTTTGGATATTTTCACTTGTGTTGTCAACTTAGTTGTACACTACGTTGACAATGTATCATTTTCCTATAAGTTATAGGTTTTTTAAAAATTAGTATAGATATTTTGAAGAATTCAAACTATGTTTGTGGAAAATAACATATAATTTTATAGTTTATAAGGTAAATAATTTTTTTCAACTGTACTATACTTTTTTTTTTTAATTTCCATTCCTACAGTATTTTTTCGTAAAATAAAACCTGAACTTCATGAATTTTCATAATTTGCATAGTCACCAACATCTTGACCATACACATGTTCTTATGGTATGGTCAAGAAATAGGCGAGCGTACAAATTATGAATGTTCATCAAGTTTATGTTGCAATTTACAATAGAAAAAAACACTATAGGTTGTACCAAAAGCATGTATAATATAGGTTGGACTAATGTTTTACCCTTGTTTTTATCTATCCATATTAATGAGTTGAAAATTTTACATGGTACTCAAACACTCCTTCCCAATTTTAACGATGACGGTAATCTTATTTAAATTAATGTACGGTCTCAATTGCTAATTTTATTTTATACTAATGTACTGTAAACATGTAACCAACTTTTAGTTTATAATAACAATATTAGAATATTCACTTGTGAGTTGTTCCACATCGTTTATATAAGGAAAATAAGTCTAATTTATAAGTCTAATGGACTACTCCTCATTCCACCAATTGATTTTGCGATGGAACTCCACTTGGGTTTCATCTGAGCTTTCCTTGCTTACGGTGCGCTTCATCTGCGTGGGATCGTACCCGTTTTTCCCCCGTTTCTTACATGGTATCAGAGCTGATTCTATGTGGGACCGTGCGATGACGTACCCGTTGCTCAGCCTATTTCTAGTAGGGCTTGGACGCTCAACTCCGTATGGACTTGAGCTTCTAGTAGGGCTTGGACGCTCAACTCCGTATGGACTTGAGCTTCTTATGAAAGGCTTACAAATGAGGGGCGTATTAGAATACTCACTTGTGAGTTGTCTCACATCGTTTATATAGGGAAAATATGCCTAATTTATAAGTGTAATGGGATATTCCTTCTTCCACCAATTGGTTTTGGGCTAGAACCCCACTTGAGCTTCATCTGAGCTTTTCTTACTTATGATGCGCTTTATCTGCGTGAGACCTCACCCGTTTTTTCTCCATTTCTTACATATTATTATTATTAGTTAACTTTTTGCACCATAACAAATTTATTATTATTTGCCGGTGCATACATATTAGTTAACCTTTTTATACACTGAAAGATTTTCATTTTATTTTGAAGAGATTTGCGATTGAGCCTATTTTTTAATCACTATTTGAAAAATACAAGGAACAAATATAGAGCAATATTGGACGAGAGAGAAACAACATATTTTTTTATTTCTTTTTTATTTTGACTTTTTGTAGAAACAACATAGAAAACAACGTATATACTCGCAAGTGACTTGTTAAGGTTTAAATTTTTCATAAATGTTTGTCCATTTTAAACGAAGTATAAGAAATCTGAAAGTATAAAAAAAATAAAAAAATATATAAGAATTAATTTTTCATAAAGAATAATTATTACAAAAGTAATATATAAATATATTATTTAGGACTATTTGACAAAGAGTAAATATTAGGCAATTCCTAATTTGTCATTTTTTTATTAAAAAATGACACTTATTAATAAATTAATTAACCCTAGCAAGAATTAATTTGATACAGTTCTATTTGACTAAGGAATGCAGCATAGCATAGCAAAGCAACATTGATTTACAGTCTGTCAGTATTTAATATCACTATCATCATGCTCTGTCTATATTTTTCTTAAACTCTAGCCTATTGGTACAACAAATTCATATATGCATCAGAACAGAAAAACCAAAATTAAATTCTCTTTTGCAAATTGTATTTCCGGTATTAGCTGGTAGCTACTCATGATGTAAAATACAAAAAAAAATAAACAACCACCGAACGGGCGGAACCTCATTTATGGCAAGGCCGTAAGCATTGCTTAATGTTGTTACATATACTAAATTCGCATGTAGAAGGTACATAAAAATCTGAAAACCCTAATTTGGAACATCCTTTTATGAAAAAAAAAAAATAAATAAATAAAAATCTAAAAACCCTGATGTTATTACTTTGACATTACCTAACATCAAGTTCTAGTAATGTACAAGGAATGTTACTGCAAACACGCGCCACCGAACAAAGTGCTACGTACATTGCAAATGAACGTAAATATATAATGCACGCCATTCACTACACGTCAATAATCGATCGTACTATGATCATAATAAATACAGTACGTGATATAGCACCCCTGAAATACAAAGTCGAGAATGGCATTGAATAGTTGTCACGAACGTTCCAATTTAAAATTTAATTTCTTGAACAGCAAATCATCATCGCGTCAAATTAACATACACTAAGAAAAATATCATATTCCAACTGTAAAATAATACAAAAGAAATTATTCTAAGTTTCTAACGCAAGTTATTATAACATTGGAATATTTAGTCAATTACAATTGCCGTTGGAATATATTGTCATTAAATCTTCTGTTCGAATTTGACCATTTTCTTGTAGTGCGCAATCGATGAACCGACTTTGTAGAGTTTGAAATTTTTATTTAGTAAATAAATATCCATTTGAAAAACCTAAAAAAGAAAAAAATAATTAATTGTACAGTCATGATACAGACACATAGAGAGAGAATCTCTCTTTAATGAGATAGGTAAGCAAAGACAAAATTATATGTTGCATATAACATGGTTCTCTTTCTCACCAACCAAACCAAGCTACAAACCCCAAAAACCTGAAANTCTCTCTCTAGCTAGCTCTCTAAAGCCCTAAAATGGCCAATCTCCATCAGCAGCATGTCCTAGTAATGTACAAGGACTGCCAGCACAACCATGCGGCCCAAGCTCAAGGCTTCACTCTCGACGGTTGCGGGCTTTTCGAGCCCAACGGGCCAAACGCCACACCCCAGGCCCACTTCTGTGCTGCATGCCGTTGTCACCGCAATTTCCACCGTAGGGTTGAGGTAGATCTCCCAGATAATTACTATTCAACTCAAAATGTAAACCCCTCAAGCCCAAATCAGCCGTCCGGGCCACAGGCCCAACAAGTACCCTCCAGCAATAGCCCTTCTGCTATTGGAAGGCAAGAAGTGGTGAGTGGGCTTCGCGAGACGGGGCCCGCTAGGGTTACAAACAGAATAACTAGAGAGCAAAGTGAGAGAATGAGAGTGATAGCCGAGAGGAATGAGTGGAAGATGTTTCGCGATCATTCGGAGGAGGAAATCCGGCGTATATGTTCGGAGGTCGGTATAACGAGGAATATGTTGAGAAGATGGATTTGTTATCATAGGGCTAATAATGCAGTCCGAGCCGTGGATTTATCGGGTGATTGACATAGTCCTTGATTGTGT